GTGTGAGAATTTTTTTTTTTTTTTTTTTTTGTCTTTTTATAATATCGCATGTAGAAAAGTATCTGTGAGATCAGTCTTGCGCGACGGTACACTGATTCAAATTCCAATCAGTCTACTTCGTCGATCGATTCAAAAGCCAGACAAGAGTTTAATAGCTAACTGCTCAGAAATTGAAGTTCATTGCCTTCGAATCTTTCCAGATAGCAGAGCAACGATCGATAGTGATCCCTGATTGAAAAATCAATCTAATGCCCGACGTCGAGTAAAGCGCGAAGCTTGCACATCGTGCGATAGAATCACAATCGTCACGACGGATCTTGATAAATTATGACAAAGGATACCAATATTAATTCCATTCCTAAGGACAAACGATAAATACCATTGCCTATTCCAAATTTCTATGGAACATTACAACGTAACTTCAAAAACTACACAAACAGTCTGTAATCAATTTCTAGGATATATTCTACTCTCCTATATTCTCTCTTGCTGTTGTCATCATCACGCTACAAGATGGCACTGCAATATCTCTTCTTCTCAACGTGCTTTAATCTCCAATCACACATTCAGTTCCTTTCAATGGTCCAGTACGAGTCTATTAACGTCCAACAATAATCATCGTTCCTTCAAGAAGATCACTGCACGTGGATCGCTCTTGAGAAGCTGCCAATAATCAATTCAATCGATCATTTAGCAAGTCTTGTGAGAAAAAAAAAAGAAGGAAATGATCACTTAAGTCCAATGAGATTTATAGTCAGTACTGAGGATTCGGTGAATTCCTCTGGAAGGTACTTTGCTGGTTCTGCTGCAACGGCCCGGCTGGACTGGGCCTTCCTTGTTCGCGATACTGAGGAGGGCCAGATGGCCCATTAGAGGGTCCGGTTGATCCAGGAGGTCCAGGTACTTTTCCGTAATTACCTCGCGTCGAGCCTTGATAACTACCGTACGCAGAATCGTCGCTGCGTCTAGAAATGTGCCCGTACATGCTCTCCGGCCTTCTAGAATTCACCGCGTTGTCCGAGTTGGTGGATATCGTTCCGTTCTGATGCTGTTGTTGCTGTTGCTGTTGCTGCTGCTGCTGTTGTTGTTGTTGCTGCTGCTGCTGCTGCTGCTGTTGTTGCTGTTGCTGCTGATGATGAGTCTGAACAGAGGATTGGACGTTTGGACCCGATTGCTGAGGATTCTGGCTACCCGGGGGAGGGACCGGGGCCCGACCGTATATGCTGGTCCCCGCTGACATACCGTAGACACCGTTCTCCCTGCTACTGAGGCTCGTCGAGATCCCCCTGATCCCGTAAATGCTCTGCGTGCACTGTTGCAGCTGGTTCTGCATATTCTGGTTCGTGCTGTTGTGATTCTGCGAGCTTTGACTCGGCCCGTTCGAGCCGTTTTGCTGTTGGCTGTCTCTGCCGCCCGAGCTCGAACCGGTTTGCCCTATTCTGATCGGGTAGAGGCTCTGCGCGGGGACCAGTGGGCCCGGTTTCGGGATCATCAGACCATCCCGCGCCCCGGAAGTTGACTTAGCGTACACGCTTTGCGAGCGATTTAAATTCGCCCTGGTCAGCGGCGGGGACTTGCAGTAGAGGGACTTGGTACCCCCGTAGATAGACTCGACGCGTTCCAGAGCTGTCGGCGGGGCGCTGTAAATGGAGGAGGACGCCCCGGCCACCGGACGATAGGTGGCGTACGCGCTCGGGAATTTGGGACCGGTCGGTTTGTCCAAGTCGTCGTACGTGTCCTCGTCGGATCTCATCGACGAGTTGTCACCGTCGTCCATGTCACGCGGGTCCCTGGACCGTTTTGGGTTCAGTACGTACTCGTGGAGAAGGGCCGCTACCGCGCTACCGGACAGCGGACCCACCCAGTACACCCAGTGGTTGTCCCAACGGTTGCTGACGAACGCTGGCCCAAGCGCGCGAGCGGGATTCAAAAACGGGCTCTGAAACGTAAAAATATAAAAGTATGAATGTTACAACTATTTAATATAACTGAGTTTTAAGTATATTGGGATACAACCCAGGCAAAACAAATGATAAAACTTGTTACTTCTTAGTAATTTCTATCCAGCGAGATGCCGACGAATTTAAAAAGTGGACGAATTATTATACACGGTTTGGTCGTTCGTTATGGTCCGCGAATCAGTTGCCAGCGCAACGTGGTTAATATATAACTGTTTTTTTTTATAACTTATTAATATAATAATTTATCTGTTATTTATCTATATTAATATAATTAATTTATTTAACTTATTAATATAATAATTTATCTTATTTGCTCGATGATCGTTGTAATTTTCTATTTCACGCTTTTCAGACTGTACGCATGACGGACAGAAATGACAGTGAATATTAACAAAACGTGGCTCGTTTCCTTTGCACGAGGTACAAGTAAACTCGGATTTTTCTCCCTGGTGTATATATGTACATGCACATATATATATATATATATATATATATATGTACACACGCTTCAAAGCAGGTGGAACCGAGAGATCCAGTTCTTTCTTTTTCTCTCTTGTCTCTCTCTCTTTCTGTCTTTCTCATTCCTCTGCCTGCAGGTGCTGTTTAAAGACACGGACGTGGGTCTGATTCGAAAGAAATCGAGAGCCGTTTTGGATAGACCGGTTGGTCGCAGAGAAGAATGCGTACAATGGGAAAGAGAAACGAGGGAAAAAAAGAAAGTAAGAGACTACTGTCTTAGAGGCAGAGTTCTCTGTACCGACATGATGTCCTTTTTTCTTCTTCTTCTTCTTCTTCCTTCTATCAACGACAAGTTCGTGCATTTAAGCGTTGGGACCGGAAGTGGTATGTGTGTGCGTGTATGTATGTACTTACCGAAACCAAAGTGGCAGCTGTATAAGCTGCGGCTAATACGCCAGCTGGTTTCGATGAGATTGACGTTGACAACGCTTTCGAGGATTCGGAGGTGAAATGGGCCAGAACTATCAGCACAGAGAGTGTCAGTTCAACCAGAAGCCTCTCGATAGGGCCCCCGAGGCGGCCTATGGAACTTAAGGTCTGCGTGTTGGACGGCGTGGTCACCCTGCAACGAAGCCAAAATTAATTACATACTCGTTTACTCGTTGAGTCAAATTACTTGGACCGAACTTCAAAGTCGAAAATCAGAATAAAGGAAAGTATCGATTGGGCCCTCTAAAACGATGCCAGAGTATGACGTGTCACGATGATATTAATGCACGACGATTTTCCTATTGAAGGTTACCGTGACACAACACAACTACCGGCCATAAGAGCCCCCCTGCGGCAGGCCAGTCCCTGTGGTGCAATGTTTATATTAGCCGGTGCGTCGTCGTGCCCATGGGCTTCGTTCATCGCCTTCTCCCTCTCGCCTTTTGTTCCTTTCGCACCGAGCGCTCGTTAATTTTCTCAGTTCGCGCAATCACACAGGGTCACAGACACGCGACCTCCTCTATTTTATACAGCAACTATTACCATACCATCGAAGCAAGAAGAACTTTTCACCAGTGGTGGGATGATTTTCGTTTATGATTGGTGTTTCACAGACAAAATAAGAGTCTTACTCTGAGAACAAGATACTCAAGCAGATAAAAAACTTTGGATCTTAATGTTGAAAATTTATCCGAAATACTAACGTTGAAGTGGACCAAATATTAGTACTAAATCTGTTTTTACAAATGCTTGCTTATTCTTTTTATAAATCAACATTTGAATATTGTATATCAATTATTATATTAATTTTACAAATCAATCAACGTCAATCATATAATATACATATATGTATATAATCATACATAATCAATCATATAATACATGAGTAACGTTGATTAATTTATAAAATTGATTAATGATTGTCATACAATATAAACCATGTAACATATTTAATATATATTATATGATATAAATCAACATTAATCATACATTAATATGATAATTAACATGATACAATAAATCATACATATAATAATTAATATTATATATATAATATATATACTAGTCATGTATTATATGGTCAATTATTAATTAATTTTATAAATCAATCAACGTTAATAATATACATTTATATAATCATATATAATCAATGATATAATATGAGTAACATTGATTAATTTATAAAATTAATTAATGATTGTCATATGATATAAATCAACATTAATCGTACATTAATATGATAATTAACATGATACAATAAATCATGCATATAATAATTAATATTATATATATAATATATATTAGTCATGTATTATATGGTCAATTATTAATTAATTTTATAAATCAACATTTTAATCAATTACATATATTATAATTGATTAAAATGTTGATTCATAAAATTAATTAATAATTAATCACATAATACATGACTATTATACATTGCATGTTATCAATCAGCATTAATAGTACATAAATTTTAGAAATCGATTATTTAAATCAACAATAAGCACAAACATCGCTTGCAGGCACATTAACGTCAATTTCTTTTCAGACGCGTGTCGTTTATCTCGAGTGGATCAATAGAAACAGCGGGGCTCAAAGTAACCGAGAAATGAGATCAACATTTGCCAAAGAATCAAACGAGATGCACCTGTACACGTAGGCACCTTTCGAAGCGCAGGATTATCGAGCAGCTCCGAGGGAGAAACGGTTCCCTAATCTCGCTATTAAATGCATCGAATCACCGCACCGCTCCATGAAACATATATCGCCACATCGATGGAAAATTCTCCCTCCTCGTTTGAAGTGTAATGCAAATGAAATGCCCCCTTTCTCTTTCTTCCACTGTGCTCGGCCTCTCTAGCTCGAGAGGCCTCGTGATCGTGTCACGAGAGAGCGAATTGATGAAATCAGAAATGCAGATCACGACCGCACAATTGGGATTAACTGTGTCGTTCGTGGATAGGGTGGAAATACACAAGAGGAAAAAAAAATGAATGAATTCTCGTGCGTCTCTCTCTTGCGAGATTCAGAATGATAAGCGGATTTTCCTTCAGCGGACAACAGTTATTGACTGTCTGTGTTCGAGTTAATTATGACAAATTTTTGCGCGGTAAGATGACACTGTAAATACGTATCCTGCTGTTAGTAGTTGCTTTTTTTGAACACTGAGAAGAGAGAGACTGAAAGAATTTCAGTTCCATTTCAATCCTCTTTTTTAACAGACCCATTTTCGTTACAGATAAAAAAAAAGGGGGGGAACACTCTTTACACCTCTTGGTACTCTTTGTTTCGCCAAAGTGCGGACTGGCCTGCATATTCTTTGCACTAAAAACCTTTCTGCAACGGAAAGCGCCGGTACGAGCAGTCGGTCTGAAAAACGTACGAAGCAACCTCCATTTGAATCTTGTGTACCAACAAATCCACGCGAAACTAGCGAGTCGTTCCTTTTTCATGGATGATCGTTCTTTGCGATTGCCCTAAAAAAAAATTAATCACAGTTCCGCTTTTCGCAGGATGTGTAGGAACCTGCGTAGATCGCGACATCTATTGTTTGCTAATTGCATGAATGTGCGTGTGCCTGCTGAACACATAGTTCACTCTGTGGCTACGAAGTCTCACGTCTTCACTTGTTTCTCGATCTCAGAGCTATAAGCATTGTAACAAGACAATGTCGAGAGAGTAAAAGCGAAGAGACTGTATGGATAATAAAGTATCTTCGATGACTTTATTATCCAACAGGATGTAACAAAGCCTCGCGACGCTTTTTTGCGTCGTCATTCGATATTTCCCAGGAAAGATCTTCTCTCGTGGACGGCGACCGTTTTCTCACGTTTTCCGCTCGAGAAGTTGGGATCGCTCGGCCGAGATCCCCACCTCGTCGTGGCACTTGACTCGAGTAACCGTGTGCAACCTGTGCTCCATATTCGCACGAGGGGGAGTAACCGAACCCCAGGAAACACCCTCAAGGGTCCAGCGAGTGACACGACGTTTAAAATAAATTTCAATTCGAGCCAGAAGGGGTGGTGATGCGTATCACTTTCACCTCTGGGTCTCTGTCGCGTTTAACGAGCTATTGATATCTTCCACCCACCGGAGGGAGGGGGGGGGGGACTCCCCCAGAATGCAGAGTGGTCGAAGCTACATACGTATGTGTATAGCTATAGTATTCTAGTCGTTAGTGGGCACCCCCTTCTCTCCCCTTCCTGGCCTCCCCCCTTTTTCGAGCCAGGAAAACCGCCACATGTGTACGACGCGTGTTAAAGGCCGGAATGGAGTGGAGAGTGATCTCCACGGTGATCTCCATTCTAAAGTCTTGCCCTATGGGAAAGTTCAGATGCTCCGGTAGTTGCGGTTAAACCAGAAAATTAGTCGCCCACGGTGAACGAGAGAGCGACTGTGGGAAGTTTTGCAAGAAGCTTGACCGGTCATTCCCTTATGGGACGACAAAACTCTGTCGATTGTCACGCCTCGACCGGCGATTGTACGCGATGAAGTTCTACTTTTAGGCAGGAAGGCAACTTCTCGACAATCGAGTGCGAGCGAGCGGATTTTTTGGAACGTGACCTGAACAACGGGGGTAACTAAGGTTTCTTTTATTCGTTCGCCCGTTCGGCTTGCTTTTTATATAAAATTCTTATAAAGAAAGCGGAACGATTAATTTCAGAGGAACGGTTTTTCTCAGGTACAGTTCACACACGGTTTCGCATACACGCACTACATCCATCGACTATAGAAATCCCAATGGGCGACAAAGCACAGGAATTCTTTGAAAGAGCAGGGAAGCAGGTCCGGGCCTCAGAATTCTATCCTCCGTCCCGCCGCGAAGGGGAAACATGTGAAAAAGGGGCCAGGAAGTGCATACACCCACGAGGATCCGCTTCTTCGGCGAGCAAACGCGGCTGACCGTTTTTCTCATTCTCCTCTTACGTTCCGTTTTTCGGAGCGGTTCACGATTATTATGATATATTAATTCGTTGATATTAAAGGAGAGTTAATTATTTAAAGGGAATTTAAATAATCAAGATCTTAGAATGCTATTATAGGCAAAAGACTCCCTAATGTTAATTGATTGATATTATGATATTTTAATCATTAATATTAATGTAGAATTAATCATTTAAGATGAATTTAAATAATTGAGATTTTAGAATCCTATTATAGGCAAACTTGATGCCTCAAAAAATTTCTTAATATTAATTGATTAATATTATAATATTTTAATTCGTTAATATTAAAGGAGAATTGATTATTTAAAGTGAATTTAAATAATTGAGAGTTTAGAATCCTATTATAGGAAAACTTGATGTTTCAAAAGATTCCCCAATACTAATTTGATATTATGATATTTTAATCATTAACATTAATGTAGAATTAATCATTTAAAGAGAATTTAAATAATTGAGATTTTAGAATCCTTTTTAAGGCAAACTATATGTTTCATAAAGTTTCTTTCTGTACAAAATTTAATTGGAGAAATTCATTGATATTATGATATTTTAGTTTATTAATGTAGAATCAACTATTTAATGAGAATTTAGATAATCAAGATTTTAGAATTCTATTAATAGGATGCAGACTTGATCAGAAAATTCCTTTGTATACAAAATTTAATTGGAGAAATTCATTAATATTAATTCATTAATGTTGTCATATCTGAATTCATTAACATTAAAGTAGAATTAATTATTTAAAGAGAATTTAAATAATCAAGATTTTAGAATCCTATCAATAAGGTTTAAACTTGATCCTATTAATATTCTTGCAATTAGTAATAACTTCAAAAAGTTATACAAAATTTAATTGGAGAAACGTCTCCCTCTTAAATTCGAGCATTTTAAACGTCCTGTACATTTTAAAATTCCTTTCAACTAAACTAACACAGAAAATACGAAATTTTTAGGTTCATCATTACAACTATTATACCTTTATAGATTCACGGCGGCGATATCTAAACTCTGTTAGGATATAAGAGAAAGAAAGGGAGGGAAGGAGAGAGAGAGAGAGAGAGAGAGAGAGAGAGAGAGAGAGAGAGAGAGAAAAGAGGAACCTCGGCAGCTGGTCTCGAAGATCGTTGCGGATTCTCCTTCTATATAGAATCCTATATGAATCGTGGGTCTTGGCTTTCTACGGGAAACACGTGCCAGCCACATGTTGCACAAAAGGAATCCTCAGTGGTCCTTTCGAATATCCATAGCGTAAAGTCGTAGTTACAAAGGAGCTTTAGGAGGCCTATAAATGATTCTCTTTCGGTCGGAGGATACGAAACAGCGGCAGATGTTTTCCGTCTTTATCTGTTCAAACATGTCGAACTCGTTGCTGTGTGCACGCGTTCCGGAAAGAGGATGGAAAATAGCGACAGTTACTTGAAGCATCGAGGAGACTCAGCTGTTGAGAAACAAAATTTTCACAATGGGACATCGCTTGAAACGATAATAGGTAATAAGGTTTAGGTTAGGTTTGGTTTAGGTTAGTTGATATTAAAATTCTATGAAATTCATGACTTTGATTTTCTTGTATTCTCAATGAAAATTGCAGTGCAAGTAAGATCTTTTTTCAAGCGAGTCTTTCAAAATGGGGAGAAGAAACCGTGATTGAACACGTGTCAGCGTTAGGGAACGGATTTTGTTGGCTGGGCCAACAGGCGAACTACGCATGCATCTTAATCACACGACCTAACAATCAAGGAACGGTACGATTCTTAAGAACCAACACGTGGTTGCGACCATCTGTTGGCATCCTGCTTCGTTCATCCCACCCTAAGCTAGATCCTTTTCGCTTTGCCAGTTCTTTTCTCCCACATCCAGAGATCAACGCGCATCCTTTCATGGCTGTTTTATTTCTCAAAACGTACTCCAAGGTAAGTGTGCTTTTTACACTTCTCAAGGGAAGAAGAGAACTAAGATGGAACATTAAATCATAATTGTGACACTTGTTTTTAGCAAAAATTAAGAGCTGTTCAAACATCAATTAGAAATGAAATAAAATACAGAAGAACTAACAATGATTGTAGAAAAAAAACAGAAGAAACCCTCAAACCCAGAATCCTTGTCAAATCCAGAAGGCAATTAATTTAACCAACAACTTCTCTCTAAAATTTACGTCAAATTTCTCTAAGAAATTGAAACATCAAGAACTATTTATTTTTTATCATTGCATTCACCAACTCTCCGTGAAACCACCGCAAGGAAACATAAAAGCTGGAACATAAACTTTCCCAGCGTGCAACGCGTTCAAATATTTAGCTTAGAGAGCGATATCACGCGTTTTTAGCTGCGAGTCAGGGATTTCAAGAGGTGAGTGAAACAGCGTCATATGTTCCCCACTTTTTTTTTTTTTTTTTTGCTTCTCATCACCAACCGCTCTGAATTTATTTTTACTAACAAAGAGGTGCGTTCCTTCGTGCTGCAGGACACGTTATCGTTAACGATTGGAATAACGTTCCTGAACGAGGAATAACTGTTGCAGACGATTCTTGTAAAAGCTGGAGCATCGCGGATATCGTTTGAGCGGGCCGCTTTGTGTCCGCGGTAAAAGGTGTTCCAAGCAGGTAAAACATTCCTACTGAAACGGTTCTACCTGACCCACCTGGCTTTCACGCTACATTTTCGGCTCGACAACAGTCTCTCGCGTGTGTGTATCTCGTACATCGACGTCCAAAGAGGACCAGCTACATAAAACGCAGAATCTTGGATATATGAAAAATATAATGTGACGCTTTGTGCAGATGCATGTACGTACGTTATACGTATATGTATCAGATCTGGAGATTTATTTCAAATAATAATTTGTAAATAAATTTTTGAGGTAATGTTCTTTAGTATTTGATAAATGATGGATTTCAATTAATGGTACGTAGTTTGATCAATTAAAGAAATATGAAACTATGCAAATAATTGGGAAAGTAGTGAACTGAAGAACTGATTATTTCAGAAAATAATGTTTATTTGACAAATGAAAATTTGTCTTTCAAATAACGTTCAGAGGAAATATCAATGAAACGAAAATACTCAAATGAAAAAAGGAGTAATCAATGAAAATCGAATATATAATTTATTAGTGTATGTTATCACGGCAGAAATTTGTCTTGGCTTTTAATGAGACTTGTTCCTCAAACATTTGATCCATTAATAAACAAAATTTGGGGACATCTGTCAAATTTGCAAATAAAAATAGTTTCTCTACTGATAACGAAGACGGGAGAGGATTATAACTATTGTAATTTTTATATGAAATACTTGATAATAGATTATTTCTGAAATAACTTTAAAAAAAATTTATTTTCAAAAGCTTTCAAAGTACCCAGGTCTGACATGTATATGATATCGTACTGATTTGAAAAAAAAATTCAGTTTTGTAATATTTAAACTGTACGAGCTTGAGATGACGTATCTGTGGAAGTGTAATAGTGTATACGTGCGTTTGATTGGTCGATGAATTATCTTTGAAGGGAATTCGGAGGAAAGAAGACCTCCCCCTCCTCCTGCCCATCTCGACTGAGAGTATTGAAGGTCCTTGAAATCGCAGCTTAGGAACCTAATATCGAAGGCTTTCGAAGAGACTTGGATATTGCTTGTCGTCTTGTAATCTCTCCCTTCCTTTTGGAAAACCGTAGCATTACGACGAATGACATTTCACGCGGCCACGACGAATTTTCTTCGTACCCTTCTGTCGGTTAACTCTTCACGAGTTTTCTTTCTCTCTCTATTTTGTTTCACTGCGTCTTCATTAAAACCTTAAGTCTCGTTTCAATCAATTAACCTCTGGCGCTGGTAACTAGTTGACGGACCATAACGAGTGACCAAACCGTATACAATAATTCGTCTTCTTTTTGAATTCATCGGAACATCACTGGATAGAAATAACCAAGAAGTAATAAATTTATTATTTGTTTTGCCTGGGTCGTATTTCAATATGCTTGAAACTGAGAAAATATTGCAATTTTGGAGCAAATATTCTCGACGTGCGTGGCACCATCATTCCAGCGCAAGAGGTTAAATTAATGTTGCAGCTTCGAACGATTGCAATTAAGGAGAGAAGCGAGTGGAGATTTTTTTTTTAAAGCGAAGCGCAGTTGGACAGTGTCGGGGAACAGGAAACTCATGGATGAAGCTGTTTCTTCGCTGGACATCCGGCTTGCCACGCGCACTGCGTGTGTCTTGCTTGACGTCACAACACACACCTGCTTCCTCACAGCTGTTCCCCACAGTCCTTTGGTGGCAAACTCCTCTGACAAATACTTTTTACCATCCTCTCGACTAATATTCCTCCTTCTTCGGAAAATCTCAGTTGAACGTCGCTTCGATCGCTCCTTTGATTCGCAATTCAATGGATAAGAGGAAAATTTGATACAGTTACAAAATTTGAATAGTATAAGAATAACCTCTTTTTTTCGAATATCATGTGTTTCATAAATAATTTTTCCTGAGCTTCCAAAAAAAATTTTTGTTTTCGTCTCTCTTGAAGAATTTGAGTTCTCTTGAGAATTTCAGCTTTTGTCTGACACTCGTGTGATTTACTATGAAAACGTAGATCATTGTGGATCCTCTTTCTTAGGTTAGGTGTGAAAAAAAGGGAAAAGAAAGAAACACATGGCAGGATAATGGGAGAATCTTGTAACGCGTCGATGAAGCGATACTAAATCCTTTCCGGATAGTTAGACTCGCGGTTCTCCCATAATCTTTTGGGTCGTGTCAGTTCGGTTTACGATTTATCTGCCCTCGGCTGTCTCTCCGTGTCATTTTTTATTTATATTCCGGGGAAGTGTCGCATTGGGAGCGGCGCGACCCCTCGACAAAACGCAAGGATACCTGTTTTACAAACGCCGTCTAAACACACGCATACACGCGCACGCTGCGAAGTGACCCAGTCGCAACAGATGCAAAGAATACTCTAGTTGTTTCTTTCTTCGTCTCTCCCCCGCTATCGCGCCTTTTTTCCACAGTCTCTCGTTTTTTCCCCCCTCCCGCTCCATCAGGGAGTGCGCACACGTTTCCCCAGAGACGTTCCTCGAAGGGATGACGAACCCGGGTAGTTAACCAGAGTATTGTTCGATTATTATTTCGGTACATATCGCGCACTTGTTATCTCTTTGTGCGGTCATATGGTGGCCTTAAGGGTGATTCTCGCCGCGAATGACGGATCTGCTGTTGCGTCGAAACGCCCTGTGGTCACCCACAATTTCATACCGCGTGACGTTTTCGTTTCGATCCGTGCAAGATCCTCTGGCGGATGCGGATGTCTCAGGTTCAGAAGCAAGAAATGCTTCGAGCAAGACACGCGATCGCACTGCTCCTTCCAAAAAAAAAAAAACATTTACGCAGATGCCTCTGTATCCTTGTTTTTTTGTTAAGACAACCAATTGATAATGAAATACACGTCGCGGTTTTCGTTTGTGCGCTATGAGTGCTCTAGATTTATGCCAATTTTAGTTTTCCAACAATTTTTAAACAATCGTTCCATTCTTCACTTATGTATAATTTAAATTGCTTAGATTATTTTTAGGTTATTTTTAAGTGAGAAATGGAACGATCTAGATTATTTAGATTAATTTTAGGCTATTTGTAAGTGAAAAATGGAACAGTCTAGGTCTATTTAGATTATTTATAAGGATTATTTAAAAATGATATAAATTTAGCCCTAGAGCAAACATAATGTATACAGAAAATGTATACAAAAAAGTGCAAAAATTGTTCCATTTACACATAACCTAAATTATTTAATTATTTGTAAGTGAAAAATTGTTTTAAATTTAATTTGTTTAAAAACTGTTTGATTGCTCGGTTGTTCGAGACAATCACTGAGGAAAACATTGCAACTTTTTCAACATTAATGGACATTGGATAATGACATTCGTGGCTACATCATTCAGGCAATGAATCGTATGGGGAGTGTTTCTACTTTTTTTCCCCCTGGCTGCAGAACATTGATGAAATTTCACGGGGAACGTTGAATAGGTTACAAGGGAGTTCCTCTATTCTCTGTGACTTTCATGGAACAATACCAGGGGTCTGCAACGTCCATGCAACCTGTATCAACCTGTACACCTTCTGACTAAATACTCCTCAGGTATCTCTTTGCAACGTTATTGCCAATTATCGTGTCATTAATCACATTATCACTAATCATGCGGGGAGTGTTTCTATTTTTTCTCTTCTGACCACAGAACATTGATGAAATTTCACAGGGAATAGGTTACAAGGCAGTCTCTCTATTCTCTGTGACTTCTATGGAACAATACCAAGGGTCTGCAACTTGCAGCAATCTGTATATCTTCTGTTCACTGATTAAATACTCCTCAGGTATCTCTTTGCAACGTTATTGCCAATTAATCGTGTCATTAATTACATCTTTGTTCATCTTTGCGTTACGATATCTCTCTGCAGTTCCTGACGATTCTATCTTTTCAGATATCTTCTTTAATCGAAGATCGGTATTCCGAATAGACTGCTACGATGAGGTAAGGAAGAGGAGAGAAGAAGAAAGCGAGGGAGACGAGGACAAAGGAAGAAAGGGAGGACAATGATCCGCGGAAACGTAGAAAACATCTGCTCCGAGGGCCGAATCGCAGCGCGTCCTCCTTCAATGAGAGGCGATCGCGTCGTGAAACTTGTCCCACCTTGGCGCGCATAGGCATTCATTATCCTTGTCTCTGGTGCCTGCTCGATCCTTCTCCCGTATACGATCTTTTTTGGTCCATGGAACATCTGCGGCAGCTGCAAGGCGGTGGTCTGCCACAGCGTACACGGAACGAGGCAGGTGCTCACCTCTGAAGAAGCTTCTCCCTCTAGCTCTGCCAATTACGCGTGCCTCTTTCTGCCTCTGCCACCCTCTCCCTCCTTTCCTCGTCTACCACCTCGTCGTTCTTCTTCTTCTCCTCTTTGCAATTTTTTTCACTGACAATCGCTGAATAACCGAATATAATTAAACAGTCTAAAATTGTGCTTTGAGACAATACTCGATGACTACTGTCGCAGAGGGGAGTTTTCATTTACCTTGTAGCAAGTTCGTGTGGCATTTCGTTGCAGTTAGACTTGTAGCAGTAGATATTACATTGTACACATTGTGTGCAATGTAATAGATTAAATAAATATATTTAAATCTGCACTTTATTTAAACAAATATTATATATATATATTTAATATAAGATATATTTAAATAAGTCGATTTAAATGAATTATTTAAATCTAGACTTTATTTAAATAAGTAAATATATGTAATAAATATTATATATATTTAAATATATTTATATTTACGCTTCATCATTTCTCACGTTGCAGCATAATCTAGAATAATCCTCCGTTTCAATTATTTTCAGATAGTCATTCTTTGTGAAGGAAAAAGGGAAAGCATGACGATTCTTGACAAAGAGAGGGAAGCTCTATCACGTTTAAAAACCAGAAGAAAGAGAAATAATTCGTCGTTCTGTTTTCCTTCAGAACAACGAAAAAGAGATTTGACCTAAGTGATGGGGTAAATATCCTGGAAGTCCGTCGTCCCTTCTTTCCCCCCTTTCCCTCTTCACATTTTTTTTCTCGCTTTCTTGCAGCGCGAGATCCTTTGACCACAGGCAAAATCGAGGCACGTGCACCAACTTGCACGCGGCCAGTCTCGTTCTCTCTCTCTCTCTCTCTCTCTCTCTCTCTCTCTCCTCTCGGATACATATTATGGCAGCACGCCTGGCGCGATGTCCTGATCATCGGCTGCCCGTGGAAACCCCTGCTGCTCTCCACGGATTATAGACCATCCACGCGGAGCCACGAGTTAATGACAGAGATGCGAATATCGATGAACAACGTAATAACGATCCGCGAGCGCTTATTTCAAAGCGTCGGCCAATTCCTGCAATTGTGGCCAACAGCTCTGCGCAAAGGGGAACGATAAGTGATATAAAAATATGGCAACCCAAAGTTTTTAATGTTATGGAGAGTGATTTTCTGTATATGGACAGTATGTATGCATTTCACTTGCTTTCAATCGTTAAATTTTTGGTAATCTATCAGTCAAAATGGATGGAGAATGATTCTCTATATGTAGACAGTATGTATATTTATATGTATTTATATTTTACTTGCTTTTATCAAAGTTATTTCCAGTTGCTTTTAAATTTTCGATAATCTCACTTGCGTTTATCGTTCTCTTCTACAGGTAAATTTTCAGTTAAACTAGATGGAAGTTTCTGGGCAGTAGTTTTGTGTCGTTACATACAGGTTTAGTGGGTGGTTTCACGTCCCATCATTCAAGGTATACGTATTCGTGAAACTGGAAATATACTGGGAAGGTTTCTCTCCCAAGGATTCGGCTGGAAGTTTGAGAGATTTATAAGAAGATCACGGTTGTTTATACTGTTTGTTAGCATATAGATTATGCAGATAGGTATGTATGCATGCCGCTATCGACTTATCTAAGGTGGGTTTTCGAGAACATTTTGTCTATATACATCCTCCTTCTTTTACCTATTTTAAATTTTAGCCGTGATTATAAGAAACAGATGTATCTGTCTTTTACGTAAAAAGTGCATGATGTCGATTTGAAAATTGTAAGACATTCTGGAGGGACGAGAAAGCTTCCGGAGGCCTGACCACGCGGCTTTCTTGGATTCCATATCTAGCAGCTGTCCTTTTGGGGCCTCGTATCTCGCCTCTTTTTCCACACCATGATTTTTTCTAGTGCGTGTGTGTATAAACGCTTGGAGAGAAATGTTTGCTTTCAAGCCTTCTCACACAGAGTTTTATAGATTTTAAGTTAAAGAATTCAATCACGTTTCTTTGACAAATCAAAAGAACTATGTTTCTTTAATATTTAATATTCAAGAGAATATTCAATTGCATTTCTTTAACGTTTAATGTGCAATAATAACGGTGTAAAAAAAAAAAGAGAAAGAAAGAAGAGAGGGATTGGAAATTGTTCGTGAATCTTACAAGTGTCTGTTACGTAATACTTTTAGAACGATCACTCACCCGTACAGCATCGCAGCACCGGCTATGCCACCTCCGCACTGTGCGGCGACATAGAGAGCAGCTCGGAGGAGAGAGACCCGTCGACACAAAGCGAAAGACACGGAGACAGCTGGATTCACGTGGCCACCTGCACGTCAAATATTTTACCATTTTATCACATCTTAAATTTTATTATAAGTTTACAGTCTCTGTATTTTCTCATACAAACAGAGATATATACACATATATATATATATACAAAGATAGAAAATAATGCATACAAAAAGAAATATGTACAAAAGCAGAAATGTACACGAAGACAGAAATATATAGAAAGAAAATAATGTGTACAAAAAGAAATATATACAAAGACAGAAATATATAGAAAAAAAATAATGTATACAAAAGAAAAGAATATATATACAAAGACAGAAAGTAATACAAAAATTGACAATGTTAGGAGTTCAGATGAAAAGTTGGAGCATAATGTTGTTGCACATCTTAAATGGAAAGAAGTAATGGTGTTTTATTTAGAAACGAATAGACCAAAGGAGTTCCAAGAGGTACGCGTGAAGTATTATATGCCATCTAGGACACTCTCTCGCATACGTTCCACTGCACGCGTGGCGTGCCATGTTTCTATCAGCTACTATAATCGGTTAATGAGCCAATCGAGAGAGAAGCCGTGAGGACCGAGTATAAACGACGCGATAGAACAGATGACATATAGCCTCTGGATGTGATATTTCTACGCTGACAAGATTTTATTCTCTTTCGAGTAAACGAAATGTTAAGATATCATTGTATGCTATTACATATTATTAGTTATATTATTTTATAGATTACATATACAGATGTATATCATTTTCAGAGTGCAACATCAAATTTCGTTAGGAGTACAAACGTGCAATTTGTATCCGAATTGAAAGGAAACTTACCACTGATGTGACCAAAGATGAAGCAGATCGCCGAGATCGCGAAGCCGGATGCGACAGCGGTTGCCAAGACGGAGAGACCGCTTCCGGAAACCGCGGAAGACGCAGCCGCGCCGGATACAACGAGACTGAAGACGAAAGTTGCGAAACACTCAACGGCCACGGCCCTCCAGAGCTCGAGACTGCGAGCCTCTATCGACATCGGTGCTTTCTTTTCTACCGGTTCCGCGTTGCTCTCTTTGAACGACGAGATCCTCGTTAACAGGGTCACGATGTGAGCGTCCAGCTCTTTCGAAAACGTCTCGGTGGTCATTGTTTCCTCAAACCGAGTTTACCGAGACTTGGCGATATGAACGCGACGTGAGACAACGCTGCCTTATTAAAGAGGATCGTTTCTTTTAAAGCATTCTTTCTAAAGCTCCTCCACTTTCAGAATGCACCCGGCGTGTTGGGGATCACTCTCGCGAACGCACTTTTGGCGCGACGTCGAGGCTCAAATTGGTTCGCGAGCGAGGAGACGAAAGAGCGGTCGGGAGGACTGTTGCAACGCGCGGAATCGATGTTGCCGGAATGGCAACGCGCTTTCGAGTGACAAGACGATCGTCCGAACAAGTGGGCCCGGACTGTACGCGAGTGCCTCCACCACCGCACCACCCCCACTCTTCGACCACCACCGGTGCATCTGTGCCTGAGCCCGAGGAAACCGACAGACCACGCGCAGCTTGTGCATGCACATACACACGTGCCCCGAAAAAAATACGGAATGATAGGGGGAGAGTGTAAGTCCAAGGTGAAATCGTAGTGCTAAGACAGGATGTGGTCAAGATGGTGTTCGAGGGATAATTGCAGCACCCTCGTGGGATTAGGACTTTTCTGTGTCCAGGTTCAACCCCACGTGATTTTATTAACAATATATGGGCAGAATTGTAACTATAGAATTGTAACTATAGAATTGAACGAATGCTCTTGGTCTCTCTACGTCAGAGAATTAGCAGAGAATACAAGGAAGAAAAGATATTTTTTAAAATAAAAACAAGGAATAGAGAATTTCACTCGGCTGCCTGAGATAAAAAGGTACGTTTTTTATTCGTCGAGTGGGCTGTTGATTTTCTCTGCCCTCGAAAGGAAAGAGTGTACTTTAATTGGAGCAATATTTAATTTCACAGGCACGAGCGAATTCATCCACGCCCGCGTAAAAAACGATGCTGAATATTGAAAAGAATAATTGCGCCGAGGCTGTCTTATTCCCACGAGTTCAAAGACTACTTTAACACAGAAGTCCCCAGAAGCAAAAAGGAAGGGATGCACACATGACAGAACGTAAACAACGATTATAATAACGTTCATTTATATCAACTTTACACGAACATCGGCCCTGGATGAACCGAGTGTCTCGTCTCGTAAATTTGCATTCATCATACACACTGTAAACTTGAATATCCCGAGCTATATAACGAGCAGATTGCAGTCTTAAAAAATACTATATCTTCTGTTCATCTTGATCTTCAAAAACATATAGGATGATCCATTTAAGGGAAATCAGATATCTTTTCGAATTGTGATGATGTCAAATATACTTTTCGCCTAACATGAATGACATCGAAAGATCAATGCCTGGCAAGAATACTTCTTTTCCAAAGTCATTTCTTTTTCAGGAGCTTTCAAGATCATTGATATTTTTCTTTTCGTACAACTATACTAGTACGATTCATACAGCATATTTCATACAACTGTACATATAACTATTTTATATTTCTATTTAGCAATACATATAATACATTAACAATACATGCATGTATATAAGTATTTATATTTAATAAATTTAACGTATATTTAATAATGCATGTAACTATTCTATATTTCATACAACTATTAAGTATTTCTTTGTGAATTACAAATTTCGATATGCTAATCGGAATTTCAAGCTGCTATAAGAGATTACATTATGTTACATTATGTTACACGATGTAAACAAATAGTAAACATGTTTATTTGCATTTATTATTAGACATTCGATCGTCGCGACTTGGCCAAGATCTGTAATCTCGATAGAGATAAATTTACACGTAGAACTTAAATTTTCATAGTCATGTACTCTAGATATCTGAACGTATTTTTTTACTCCAACTACACCATGAAGTAAAAAAAAAATACATGGTTTTAGGGAAAAAAACCAATGACCTTGAAAATTCTGATAAAAGATGACCTTGGAAAAAATATACTTACCAATTACCAATTACACGTTTTGTGCATCACCCTATATAAATACAATTTGTTTCACAAATTAAACGATTCCACATAAGTTGTAATATTACAAACTAAGTGAAAGTATTTTCACCAGCTACAAGATACAATAAAAAAAAAAACATGCGTAGTTATATGAGAAAAAAAACATTAGTGACCTTGAAAATTCTTCCAAGAAAAATATTCTTGGAAAAGAAATATACTTACCAGTTACAAAAATTTGAAAAGATATTTAGGTGGCTTCACTTATTAAATGGTCCACCCTGTATAACGAGCGGATTGCAGTCTTAAAACTACATCTTCTACTTCGAAAGGACCACCATGTTCAACTTCAAAAATATATTTCCCCTAGAAATGAATATCGGGACAAGAAGACAATGAGTATTTTCATGTAACTGATTCTCCTTACTTTTGCAATTCGCGAACGACGTTCTATTTCGCGTTCACGTGTTCTCAGAAGCCGACCCCGTCGTGTCAAGCGTGACGATATCCAAGAGGAGAGCCGAGAACGGACTCGGCGTAATTAAGCCCCGGGCCAGTTCTTTACTGGGACTGTACAGGCGTGCAAGTAAAGTCAACCGGGGAATGGGTAATAAATCCAGCAATTGCCGTAAATTGGAGAACTCGCTGTGGAGGGGGGTGACAAAGAGGGCGACAGATAAAAAAACTTTTACTTTGTCGCATCTCCGCAGCAATTGCTCGAGCAATGCACGTTCCTAAATACAACGTGACCTCTGTGTCACATCGTCGTTTATCAGTTACTTTCGCGACTAACATTTCTTCAGCCAAAACGCATCCGGTTGAATCACGTTGTAACTGTGATGTCACATTCAACCGGAATGTTGATTCTATATGTATGTATAATTCTCTGTTCATTGATCATGTAAGTCTCGATTTCTCAGCTCTTTGGGGTTAGGTGGGTTTAAAATTGTCTCACATTTTTTTTTTTTTTAACAGTTAATGCATGGTGTGATATTTTTCTGAAAGATGTCCTTCAAAGAATTTCATTTAGATCGCTGGTTCTATTTTGGGATTATTTATGCCCCACACTGTAATAAAGAATTCATTTAAATATTACTGTCTCTTTCATTTTAAGAAATATTTTATGTTTACTGATTGAAATAAACGTTCTTTTTTCTTTATTTATATTTAAAAAAATTCTGTGCAGGTGGAGTTTTTTTTCCATTAAAATTGCGTGCTTCTAAAGGTTAATGGACTGCCAAGTATCTAACGAAAGCAACAAAATAGCGAAGAATAGCTCGAGGCGATCGCAATTAATGGAAAGATCAGTCAACAATGAAAGCAACGCAATAGCGGAATCGACGGGGGAAGGGGGGAATCGTCGATTAATCAGCGTTTATTCATGCCTTCCATCGGTATGTTATCAATCTCAACAACACTGCAGCGGTGATCTGATTTTACTCCATGATGATGCTTTAAAAACATAAATATCCAGCACATATATAGGTTAGATATTATAGTCTACTTGTGAGAACGAAATTTTGTAACAAGTTATCTATTGAATTATCTATTACCTACATTCGAATGTTTAATAATTATGAGATAACGTTCACCTCGAATGAGTATCACTGATGTATAATCAGTTTCAGGTAGAATTTCCGGAAGATAAGCGCATACGTACACCTCGCACGAGCCACGCTCTTATGACTGAACTCCATATATACGTGTGTGTGTGTGCAGTGTGTGAATACAACTCGTCCGTTCACGCGACGGCATACTTTGGCAATCATAGGGATTCATAGATCCTGTTGCGCGATCATTTCAGTATATAACGAGTATTTACTAGTGCGTGGGCGTTCGATCGCGGCGCGTATCTGCACGCGAGGGCAACATTAACCAGGTTCAGTACACTCTGGATGTTACTCCGAGTAGCGCTTCGTATCGCAAACGATTTTCATCGATGTCAGCTATAGTGTATGTATCGTGAGGCTGCAACTGAATTTAATCAATGAACGATAGCGATTTTCACTAATCTCGTCGATTATTTTTGCAATTTCTCATCTCGTCGATATCGTGGTTATCGTTTGAGACAAAAATATGCGAAATTAACACAAATTCATGAAGATAGTTTAAGGGACATAATAACGTATTGATACTTGTTACAGGATACGGAGAATGAATTTCAATGTTCCGTAGTATCCACAAGCGGGAGAGACGATCGTTTTCGAACAGGGTGTTGGCCCGTCGATTTCGTAAGTAGCGCACACGTGCTAGTAATCGCCATAATCCAATCTCTCGATTCAGAAAGAAAAAGGAAAGAAAGAGAGGAAGAATGCGTTTCCAGTTTCCCTCAACTCGTTGACGTTTTCTTGCTTCTCAATGAGAATACAACTAAGTAAGGTTTTACTTTCACAGAAGCTTTCGCTTTTCATCGTACAACCGAGAGTTCGCCGAGAGGCCGAGTTTTACTACGTGCCTGCGGAAGTGTTGCGCGTGTGTACACTCACCGACAAAGCCACGCTGCTGCCCCTCCTTGGTGAAGTACCAATACGCACGCGGGCAAGATGGCCGCGTATACCTTGTGCTCGTCGATTGGACGCGTCTGTTTTTATCTGTGCCTCCTTAGAGCGACGGTATCATGTCAGGAACAGATATCGCCGGGTAGTCGGTATTACAGTCGCGATGGTGTGTACGTGCCTCCAAACAGTCCGGATCGCAGAACCGACACTTATGTTTACAAAGATAGGAGGTACGGATATCGTCCTAGTTACCTGGACCCTGTTTACAGAGGAGCTACCAAGGCGCCAGACACTCGGTACCTCTACGAAGTAAGATACAATAAAATTGCACAATTTTTTTCTTCTTTTACTATAAAAATTGCGTGGCATTCTTTAAAAAGTAACGACACGTACTTTTGTTGTACTTGTATTGTAACTTTAGTAAATAAATTTATTTCCAACGAGTAACAAACGATTGTAATTAGAAAACGATCGTCATTCTCTCAGGACACGACCTCGAGACTCCCTCTACCTGGGATATTAGGCGGCTGGCGAGAGGATCTCCAAGGGAGAGAAAGGTCTGACTCAAAAAATCTAGACAGAGACGTGACCGTGATCACAGCCTATGGACAAGTGCAAGGATTCAAAGTTCACTTGTACGATGATCCGCAAGCAAGGCACAGGCCCTGGAGTTTGCCAGTTGAAAGGGTTACCAAGCACGTCAACGTATTTCTTGGTATTCCTTATGCCATGCCACCGACGAAGGAAGGTAGATTTAAACCGCCTAGGCCTCACAGAGGTTGGCAGTTGTTGCAAGCTGTTGACTGGGGACCAGCTTGCCCTCAGCCCAGCGCGTACACTGGCGCCACCAAAGGAATCCGCGACGTGGACGAAGATTGCTTGTACTTGAACGTTTTTACGCCAGACATCAGCTTTGGTTTAGCTCAGCCATACCCAGTGATGTTCTACATTCACGGCGGAGAGTTTACCCGTGGGGCTAGCAACTTATTCCCAGCTCACATGCTGGCTGCATTTTACAACGTGGTCGTTGTTTCTATCAACTACCGGTTAGGAGCTCTAGGATTTTTAAGTACTGGAGATGAGAATAGCCCTGGAAACTATGGAATTCTGGATCAAGCTATGGCATTGAGGTGGGTGTACGACAATATCAGAGCCTTCAATGGCAATCCTGATGCAATTACTCTCTTTGGGCCTGGTGCCGGTGCAGCAAGTGCTGGATTGTTGATGGTCGCACCTAAAACCAGGCAAATGGTGTCGAAAGTGATAGCTCAGTCAGGTTCCGCGTTGGCGGATTGGGCAGTTATAGTGGATAAGTACAGGGCGCAAAATACGTCCAGAGTATACGCAGAATCATTAGGCTGTAGCATAGAAAGCAGCTGGAAATTGGTGCAGTGCTTGAGGAATGGTAGATCTTTCTTCGAGCTGGGTAATTCCGAATTGAAGCCACATATTGGTACGTTCCCTTGGGCTCCTGTGTTGGATGTTAATTTTACAGTACCAAGTGACAATTGGTACGAGGACTGGAGAGCAGCAGATTGGCGTTTCTTTGCAGAGACACCAGAACAAAGCATAAAAAGTAATAAGTTTGTGGACAACTTAGCATATATGGCTGGTGTGACTACTCAGGAAGCTGCATTCCTTATATGTATGTAATTTTAAATCCTTATAATTTCACCAACATCTCACGAGTTAATAAACAGTGAATTCTTTCTAGATAACAATGCAACATTAGCCAGAAATCAATATATCATAGATTCGGAATTATTCGACCAAAAAGTCTGGGAACTTGTTCTCCAATATAATTATACTCTAAATCCTCAAGGAGTTTACGAGGCTATAAAGTATATGTACACATACTGGCCAGACCCGAAAAACATAACTCACATTCGCGATCAGTATATCAATGTAAGTTGCATGCAATGTGTATGCAGTTGCACTTTCATAATTATACGTGTATTTATACAATGTTGTACATTTCTAGCTTTTGTCTGATTTTCACTATGTTGCTCCCTTCGACAAAATAGCAAAATTATTGGTAGAGAAACGTGTACCTACATATTTGTACGTGCTAAACACAACAGTGGAGGCATTGAGATTACCACAGTGGCGAAGTGTTTCTCACAACACTGAACTTCTTTGGTTAACAGGAGCACCTTTCATGGACATTGGTAAGTAATCATTCACAGTAATAATGTAATTGTTGCTAACAGTGCAATCAGCAAATGACTGCCTTTTCAGAATTTTTCCCTCAAAAGTGGAACTTGAAACGAGATATGTGGACGGATAATGATCGCAATATGAGCCATTTTTTCATGAAAGCGTACGCAAATTTTGCAACGTACGGGTAAGTTTATAATTACGATGTTTGTACATATGTAATATATGTGTAACGTAATACCTCCTTTTTTTCTAGAAACCCTACACCATCGCAAATTTTAGGCTTGCACTTTGATGTTGCCAAGCCTGGACAGTTGCGGTATCTAAACATCAATACTACTTACAACAGCTCAATATTACTGAACTACCGACAAACTGAAAGTGCCTTCTGGTCTATGTATTTACCAACCGTTATTGGTCGTCTGGTACCTACGTATCCACCAGTTACTGAAGTAAGGACCATATATTTATCATTTTTTTCCACACATAAATCCGTAGAATATTTTATTATAAATGTTCTGTTTATTTATTTCTGTTATTATAGTATTGGTGGGAGCCGAAACAACCCCTGCAAATTGCTTTCTGGTCGGTTTCTACTGCGTGCCTGTTATTAATCGTGCTTTCCGTAGTGTGCTGTATGCTTTGGCGCAATGCCAAAAGGTAAGAAAAGGTAAACAGAGCCAACCCTATATGACTACATCGTCTAACCCGGTAGTGCATGAGGGTGATGGTTCTGACAAAGACTATAAAGAATGTCGTTGACAGTTGCGTACGATTAACACAACATTTAAACATATTCTCTATTAATCGTATCTTTGCTTGTAATTCATGCAGCAAGACAAAGGCTGCCAGGTTGTACGCAGGTAATTCAAACACTTTTTACACGCAACAGTGCATCTATTTTATCATACAGCTTTAAACTTCATTAATTTATTAAAAGTTCATTGGGTAAGAAGCAAATTACAATCTTCGGCAATATTGTCGCGGAATTAACTTATTTTTTTTAATCGTTATCAATAGTGGTAGTAAATTTCTTTACTTGTTTCTTTATGTTCTCGCATCCAGACAATCTGACCACTACTATAGCGGAGACATCCTCATGGTGCGAGACGACGAACCCTCGGAGGGAATCGAGAATATGACTCGCGCCTCGAAAGAAAACATCCACGAGTATCGTGACACACCACCGGTCAGATCTAGAATACCACGGCAGAATGAAGCGAAGCTTCAGGAACGATTGGCGCATAATCGCAAATTTAGCTCTACCCCGTCGCTGAGGAGCAACTCCAACATCTCGCTGAAAGATATGCGTACGGAAGGATTTGTTACCAGTTCACCAAATGGACAACCTAGATTAAGCAAAGCTATGAGCCAGTCTTCAATAGCCAAAACTAAAAGCAAGACGCATTTAGTTCAAGGTGTCCCACAAACAGCTGTATAATATCTTTCTTTTTTTTCTTCTTAAAGTATTATTTGTTTTCTACCTGTAGTTGCATTATTTATTTTTCTGAACAAAAGTTCAAGTCCGTCAGACGTCTGAAATCAGAAACATAGTTTTTCTTTGAACAATGTGTGTTCATATATGTGAAAAAGTGTCTTTTAGCTCAAGATACTAAAAAGTATATTCTGTATATAGAAAACTTGAAAGATTTATTAAGCGACTGAAAAGTCAATGCTGTAAGACTTGGCTAAACGTTTCGTCCGTCCATAATATTGTTATTGTATTAATATTGCATTGTACATATCGACACACGTATTTTGTACTTTTTTTATGTTTTTAATTTTTATCGTTATAAAGACCGATGTTACTCATATACGAAATATGAAATCTACTATATAATAGTATAATTATTTTAAGAACAAATTTAATAATCGTTCAAACAAATGTAGAGAGTCTTTATATAATTTTTTACTAAAAAAGAGTTACAAATTTATTATATATTACGAGATATTTATATAACCCGACGTTTTCTTTATAATATTGGTGGAAAACACGTGTAATCTTCGAGTCGATCTCACTATTACCATTGTTGCAATTCCAATATTATAAGTTAATGTATTCTAGTATTTTACAGTACCTAATTATTATACAGATATACATTATATAATATATGGAAGTTTATGTATTTTGCGATACACGAGATCTCTGCCTTATATGAAAAAGGGTACTACACGTATTATCACAGTTGCATTTAATTTAGGAAGTATGTATAGAATATCAAACATCGCTGTTAAATTAAGATTTTTTTTTTAATTAAAGAACACAGCGTACAAGCAATACACGAGCGTTCAAAAATCCCAGTATGTTCAAACGCAGCCATATTCGTGTCATACATTTTGCTCGTTAGACGTTGTACAAATATATTCATCATAGAATTCTAACGATCATGATAATCGTAAATAATTTTTCAAGCTTTGTCCAGAGGTAGAGAAACATGGGACCAAAACGTGAAATCGTAAGATTCGATCAATTTTGTTTCTCTCTCTCTATCTTATGTACTAAATTGTGCAAAAATCACGCGTAGAAGTACGTGTCGAAGGGCAAGACGCGAATAGACCGGGAACAGCAAACGAAGAATCAGTTCGACCCTCTTCGTTTGGAAGTGAAGTATCCCGGAACGACGATACATTTGTTACAATGCGATGAGAAACCGATTCTGCTGGCGGCCGCGGCAGCTTTGGCGAAATTCGGTGGCAAATGCCGAGAGAACCTGCAACTTTTATTCGATCTTGAAATTACTGACAGTGTGATCCCACTGATCACGCACGAGGATTTGTTTACACGAAGGTTCACTTCAAATCTGTCATTTAATCATCTTTTTTAATTTATTCATATATTATATTTTATACTGAAAATATAAAAAAAAAATTAACTGTTAATTTTTTTAATCTACGTGTACAATCTGATTGTAATCTTTTGTAATAAAATAAAACAGATTCGCCCTAAAACTGTTGGCAGAAATGGTAGCCATCCCCAACGTCCGTGACTTCCTGCTGGATTCCGATTATTACATTCCGCACTTCATCAAAGTCCTCATCAACGAAACAGACACTTTCATGCACGAGTTCTCCTCCTTAATCCTGGCCGAGATCACCAAGGACGTTTATGGAACAGCGCAGTTGCTGAAACACTGTCCAGATATGAATTTTCTGCACGAGAGACTTCAGTCGCCTGATCCCGACGTGAAAATGAACACCATGCAAATCGTACATAACCTGTTACAAGATCCCATAGGCGCGGAGGAGATCATCGAAACTAAGGTCTATCAGGGCGAAAAGATTGAACGTTTGCCGCCGCCTCTCTCTCCCTCCCCCCACCCGTGTGCATTCGTGAAACGATATGTAATTTTTCAGAGTTTTGATCTGCAACTCGTGTACGATCTCTTCGACTCTCCTTACACCGAGATCCAGAAGCTGGCGCTCGACGTTGTGGCCGATCTGGTGCGCAGGAACAAGGACGATCGTCTGCACGATCGTTTCCGACGTACGAACGGGCTCGGAGCTTTACTGAAATTTTTGGACGTAAAATATTCTTGTAAATCGGAGGAGATCTTTTCGTACTCGGTGTGTTATTTGATGAGAACGTATCTGCATGCTTACCTAGAACATCGAGTGGGAGGATCTTCACGCGGACGCGCTCAGGATTCTACGTTTCGCGTGCGACAACCCCACCACGGTTGAACTGTTCGACGACATAGGCGGCATCAGGCACATGTTGAAATACATAGAGGACACGTCGAACTCGAGGCTTTTTATGGAGGCTCTGGGCATAGCTGTTCGTTTGTCGCACACGGCTAGGGGTAGAAAAGTAACGTATGCGATTTAAGTAGACTGATTGGTTAATTTATTTGTGGATCGAGTGAACGATACATTACTTAAAGTAATATTGGTTCTCAACAAACTGATCTATGTTTTTTAATCACAGTTGGTAGACTTCTAGACTTGGTAGACTGAGAAGTCTACTGATTGTGAGAGAGAGAGGCTTGAGCACATTTTATTTGAAAATGATAATTTGAAATAATGAACTGTTTTAACTAATAGCTATTTCAAATGACATTTAGCTAAATAAAATAATGTACTTTATATTATAGAGTGGACCAAAAATCACTTCTTACTAAAATGAATCCTTAATTTTAAATTTAATTAATAAAATTAAGAAAATTAGTTTTCTCTTATATTTTGATGTTTTATTTAAAAAAAATTGGTGGGAAGAAACTTTGGCTTACTCTGTATTATATTACATTATATATATATAACATAAATTATATCAATACAAGCAATCATTTCTTAAACATATTAATTGTGGGAAAGCATGTTTTGAGGAATCACAACAACAAAAGATTGTTCAAAGAGGGTAAAATGAAAATAATCAAGGAATACTGCTCTTTGAGAGTCCAGTTACAAATTAATCTAGCACTAATTGACTGCAGATTTTCTTGAAATATCTCTAATACCGTTTGATTTTTTGCTGGAATCCGTTTCCTGGAAAGGCCTTGTACGATTATGGCATCGTGGATTATTTACTGAATACGTTAATGGGTCACGTACAAGCTGACATGTACGAAATCAGTTGCCACGGTATTGGCATGATGACTCTTTACAACGAAGCGGCCAAGGATTTAACCACGGGCAAATGCGTGAAAAACATTCTAGGTAGAACGAATCGACTTTCATTTGAAGCCACCATACAACGACTCACGACGATGTTTCAGATATACTGAAGAATGAAAATTTGAAACTGTCCACTAGATTAGCAGCTCTGTTCGCCTTGAATCAATTGTTAAAATGCGACGCGAAGAATTGCCAGGAATTCTTGGACATTCACGGGCAGGTAAACTCTGTTGTCGTCCAAGTAAACACGTCCATCTACTTACTGTATACTGGCAAAGAATATTTTAAGTGCGTTACTCTCAGAACTATTTGTTATGGCTGATGAGGCAACCGGCCGGGAGAGTGCCTGTCGAAATTCTGGTCGGTGCTGTGGAGTGTGTCATTACAATAGTGAGAAATCAGGCCTTGAGACATACTGTGATTACACCGGAGATCATCGACGCCATGTGTGCGTCTTTCGAAGTACATATGTACATGTTTCATTTAAATATTTTAATATTTGATATACATGCAGAATGGTCCATTTAAGTGGACAACCACATAAATATCTTTTGAAACTATGATGACGTATAAAATATTTTTCGCCTAATATGAATATCAAAAGATCAATAATTGGTGAGAATATTCCCCCCTCCCCTCAGAGTTTTCAAGGTCATTGATGTTTTCTCACACAACTATGTACTTTTCTTATTGCATTGTGTAGCTGGTAAAAAAAAATATTTAAATGTGTTTTTAAAGTGACACTGACATCTGCAAAAACTTCAATTTTTTAGCAACAAAAAGATACACAATTGTATAAAAAAAAAATATCAATGATCTTGGGAACTCTGAAGAAAATAATCTTAGAAAAAAGACATTCTTACCAGTTACATTGGCCTTTTGATACCGTTCATGTTTTTACAATTGTCATTGACAATTTGAAACGATATTTAAATAGGTCACTCTGTATATTAAACGTAACGTTTGCACCGCATGTTGAAAGAAAATTTTTCAATTTAATAAAATCGACGGAAGAACTGTTTAATCAGAGTTTGTTCAATCGATAGTTGAGCTGCACGTCGATGAACGACTTGAAAATCGCCTGCTGCAAAGCTCTTTCGATCGTGTGCACGGAGAAGATCGGAAGGGAGGGATTTCTGAAAGCTCAGGGCCCGAGGAGACTATATAACCTATTGTGCGACGTCAGCTCGATTCCAATAAGGAACGCAGCCGCCCAACTAATTCAGCTGTTATGTTCGGATCCGGCTTTGGCGGAGACTTTCGTCTCAGCCAGATATTTAAATTAGTAAGCCAAAAAAAA